TTATGTGATCAAGATAATGGACGAAGTATTCGAAATCTTTAAGAGATTCAACATACTTGTCGAAAATAAGAGTGGGAAGAGGATCAAAGTTTTGCGAACAGATGGAGGTGGCAAGTACACATCCAAGATGTTTGAAAATTTCTATGCAGAACATGATGTCAATCATGAGGTAACTGCTCCATATACGCCCCATCATAATTGAATTGCAGAAAGAAGAAACATAACCATATTCGATATGGCAAGATGCATGCTGAAGTAGAAGAATTTTCCAAAATATTTATATGGAGAAGTTGTTTCGATTGCAGTTCATATTTTGAACAGGTGCCCTACCAAGAAATCAAAGAACAATGTTCCTGAAGAAGTGTGGAGTGGCAAACCACCATTAGTAAGTTGTTTGAAGTTGCTTGGCTCAATGTGTTACAAGCATGATCCTGATGCAAGGAGAAGAAAGCTTGATGATAAAAGTGAACCTATGATCTTGGTAGGATATAACAAGACTGGTGCATATAGGTTATTCAATCCAATTAATGAGAACATAGTGTTGAGTCGAGACATTATGATTGATGAAAATTCTGCCTGGAATCAGAATTCTAATGATGCATTTAACAAGTCATTGATGAGCTATCATTTCGACGAAGAAACGGATGAAGTCAAAGTCTAAGAAATTTTAGATATTCTAGTCAATGTCGAAGCAGTTTCTGACATTCCCAACACAATCGAAGTCGAAGAGAGTGTGGCTAGCACAAGCCAAAAACCCTAAAGGGCTAGAGTTCTTCCAACAAGACTTCAAGATTATGAAGTGATTGGTGAGTCACACTAGATGGAGAATTAATTCATTTTTATTTACTTGCAGGTGCTAAACCAATCAACTATATGAAGCTTTGAAGATTAAATAGTGGTAATCTTCTATGGTCGAAGAGTTACAGGAAATCGAAAGAAACAACACTTGGGAGTTAGTCGAATTGCCAACATATATTAAAGCTATCGAAGTAAAGTGGGTGTTCAAGTTGAAACACAATGTTGATGAGTCGATAGAAAGATATAAAGTAAGATTAGTAGCTCGAGGTTTTCTTCCAAGAGCAGGACTCGATTACTCTAAAGTATTTGCTCCAGTAGCAAGATTGGAGATTGTTCGACTAGTGGTAGCCTTGGCATGCAACCAAGGTTGGTCGAAATTTCATTTAGATGTGAAATCAATATTTTTGAATGGTCCTTTAGATGAAGAGGTATATGTCACATAACCTTGAGGGTTTGTGATTCAGAAGAAAGCGAGTAAAGTATATAAGTTGCATAAAGCACTCCATGGACTCAAGCAGGCACCTAGGGCATGAAACAAGAAGATTGACTCATACTTAGTCGAATTAGGATTTGTTTGTCAAATGCAAATCAGAGTATGGTGTCTATGTTTAAGTTGTATCCCATGATATAAAAATTATCTGCTTATATGTCGATGACTTGTTGGTAACTGGAAATAGCTTGGAGAATTTGTCGAAGTTCAAAGAGATGATGATGAGAGAATTTGAAATGTCAGATCTGGGAAAATTGTCTTATTTCCTAGGCATGAAATTTCAAATGTCGAAGTAAGGTATGGTGCTACATCAAAGGAAGTATGTCAAAGAGATACTCAAGAGATTCATAATAGATGATTCGAATCCTACATCCTCACCTGTCGAATCAAATGTGAAGTTGGAGAAGAATGGAGAGGAAGACAAATTCGATGTAACTTTGTTAAAGAAAATTGTGGAATCTCTTAGGTATGTGTGCAATAGTCGACCTGATATAGGTTTTGTAGTCGGACCAGTGAGCAGATACATGAGTGAACCAAGAGTATCACACATGAAGGCTGCAAGAAGAATTTTGAGATACTTAAAAGGATCGATAGACTATGGAATTCTATTTCGACAAGATTATGAAGGCAAAGAAGCAACAATTACTTATTTTTCAGATGTTGATTAGTATGGAGACAAGGAATATCGAAGAAGCATAATCTGATATTTCTTTCAAGTATTTGGTGCCCCAATCTTATGGTGTTCGAAAAAGCAACCTATGGTGGTATTATCATCGTGTGAAGTTGAATATATAGCAGGAAACTATGTTACATGTCAAGCAATTTGGATCAGATCGGTACTTGAAGAAATGAAGGTCGAAATGAAGAAACATCATGTATTGCAAATCAACAACAAGTCAGCCATAAACCTGGCGAAGAATCTAGTTTTACATGGAATAAGTAAGCATATCGAAGCTATATTTCACTTCTTGATGGAAAAGGTAAATCGAGGTGAGCTTGAAGTTAGACATTTCTCAAGTGAAGCACAGTTGGCTGATATTTTCATCAAAGAATTGAAGATTGACAGATTCCTGAATTTGAGAAAGAAATTAGGAATAGTTCAGATTGACTATGATTAGCGTAGGTTTGGCGACTTGGTTTATAGGGGGTATGTTGAGATATTAGATATAATATCAAATATAATTTAAGCTAGATATGTTGAGATATTAGATATAATATCAAATATAATCCAAATTAGATATGTTGAGATATTAGATATAATATCAAATATAATCTATGATGCGGTGGGAGAACTGACTTGAAGGTTTTGCATTTTATCGCAAATGTTGTGGTTAGCAAGAGTCGCCATTGACTTTTCTTTTATCCAAAAGGAAAGGTGAAAAAACACATGAAAGACCTTTGAGATTGTTTCTTGGGTTCGGGGGGTAGATTATGAAAAGGGAAGGTATTAACACCCTTTTCATCCATGATTTTCTATGGGCTCTTAGTTACTTGCTAGATCACTTGCTTTTGTTTGAAATTATGCTTTGTGTGGTTTTTGGAAGTATTTTGTAAAGAGGCAATTGTTTAGGCAATCTTTGTAATGATTCTTGTTCGTAAGAATGTATACAAAGATGTTGATCTTTTGAAAATGTTTTCAATTTTGTAAGATGTTTTGAAAGTGTATGTGATTGTTTTGAAAATAGCAAGGATGTTTGTTTGAAATGGAGCAAGTAATTAAGAGTAGTCTACCTACTCAAATGTCTTTCTTGTTCATTTTCTTTTCCTTTGACATTGTTGTCTTACCATTGATTTGGTAAGCAACCCTATCTTTTGATGTAAACGGGACGAGCGTGAGTCATCGTATAGCCATGATTAGCAATGTTGCAAGGTATCTTAGCATTATTTTTGAGGGACTAAGATCATTTTTGTAAGGCAACTTTGAATAGCGTCATCGAGGGACTATGATCTTGTATTTGCTTGTTTTTGCTAAGATGCCTTACATGCGTAATATGGACATTTTTGTAAGGCAACCAAGTGGATTTTACCCTAGGGGTGCTTGTGTGCAAGTGTGTCATTTTCATGCTGGTTTTTGTTTTGGATTAGGGTTTTCTATTTGATTGATTTTATTCTTTCCATACAAACCTTAATTACTATCATATTATGTAAAAGCGATAAATTGCGAAATGTAAAGTTACTACGCTATTACAACATTTGTGGGAGGGGAGTATACAATTTATGAATGGGGATTGCAATAATATAAACCTAATTAATCTATTACAATCAAATTGAATTTGTACAAGAATTAGAATAAATAATATACAAGATGAAATAAATATGCAAGAAATATAAATGCAAAGAAAAAGATTTTTGTTTGGTTTCTTAATATGAAGGAGGTTTTGACCTAAAAAAAGAGTAATTAAATAAAATTAAACTTAAATTAAATAAAGAAATTATTTAAGAAAATATTTTAATTAAGAAAAGATTTTTTTGGATGAAACCCTAATTCTATTTTAGTTGATTAAAAGAAAATAAGTTTAAAGAAAAAGTATTTTTTTCATTTTTTTTATATTTTTATCTTGGAAATAATATATGGTGTCATGAAATATTTTGGTCTTTTTTATATTAAAAATAAGTGTATTTAAATAAATAATAACCTAGTTTTATTTTAATATTTACAAGGAAATTAATAAAAGTAAATAAAGTGTGATAAATAAAATAATTTTTATGTAGAAAAAATATTTAAATTATGTCAAAATATAAATCTATTATTTTTATACATTTTATGATTTTTTTGGTATTTTAGAAAATATATTTAAAAGAAAAAAGAAATAGATAAATAAATAAAAATAAAATGGGCCAGGGTGGTGTTACAAGTAAACAGGGTGTATGCTAGCAAAAAAAAAGAATGCCAGGCCCAAAGGGCCCAGCGCCTGCAAACAAAAATCAGAAAAAAGTCAAAAATGTGAAAAAGAGCAAAATGGTCTCGCTTCGGCTTGAACCCAGGACCATAGGGTGAACAGGCGCGCGCTTTACCACTGGGGTGGCTATACATCCGTTTATATAGGCAAAACCATAAATATATAAGGCAAACACTACAAGAAAATTAGGATTTTACGACACAAAAATTGCGACAGTTACTTAATAACCGTCGTAATTCTAATATAGAGACCCATGTCACGACGGTATACACCTACCGCCCTAAAATGAATGTTGCGACGGTTAAGAAACCGTCCTAAAATAGACATCACGACGGTAAAACAACCGTCGCCCCCCTAAACCTTTAAAAAACATGCAAAAGTTATGAAAGGGCACGACGGTAACCACACCCGTCGTCCCCCTAAATCCTTTACCCCGCTTCGTCTATTACGCTTTACTGCAATTTAAACCCAACTATTTCAAACCCAATAACACCGAACTTCACTCCATCATTTCCTGCATCACCTTCACCCCCCATGTTACTTACCGTGTTCTTTCAGACCCTATTCTCCAACCGCATTCCTGTTTATCCTTTTTCCACTTCCTCAAAACCCATCATTCCAACCATTCACTCAAACCTGACCTCAAGGCCCATTTGATTCTCTTTTCTAGACTCTTTAAAGCTCGCAAATTCGCCACCATCAAGACTATTCTGAAATCCGTTGTTACTGATTCCCAATTTCGCTCCCCAGTTTCGGGGATCGTTGATTTGCTTGATGAATTTGAGTTTCATTTTGTTGACAAGCTTTGTGATATGTTGTTTAGGGTTTGTTCTGATAATAGGTTGTTTCCAGAGGCGGTTAGGGTTTTTGATTATGTGGAGGAAAAGGGGTTCGTGATAGAGGAGAGGTCTTGTTTTGTGCTTTTGCTTGCTTTGAAGAGATGTGGTGAGATTGAGTTGTGTCTTAGATTCTTCCGCCGGATGGTTGAGTCTAATGGAATTGAAATTAGGGTTCAGTCTTTGACATTTGTGATTGATGGCTTGTGTAAGAGAGGAGAGGTTGAGAAAGCTAAGGAGTTGATGGATGAGATGGTCACTAAAAGCATTGTGAAACCGACTGTGTTTACTTACAATACGTTGTTGAATGCGTATGTTGGAAGAAAGGATCGAAGTGGAGTTGGTGAGATACTGAGGTTGATGGAGAAGGAGCCGGTTGTTTTTAGTGTGGCGACTTATAGTATTTTGATTCAGTGGTATTCTAGTTCTGGTGATATTGGGGAAGTGGAGAAGATATTCGAGGAAATGCGTGAAAGAAAAATAGAAATTGATGTTTATGTTTATTCGTCCATGATAAGTTGGAATTGTAGGTTGGGAAATATGAAAAGGGCATTTGCGTTGTTTGATGGCTGAATTTGTAGGATGTCTGCAGAATTTTTCTGCATTTCTGACATGAAGTTTGCATGTTTTGTTATTTACAATTCTACTCTCCTCTTTCTCTTTTGATGTGTCAAAACAGGTAACGATGTTTAAGAAGAATTACGACCATCTTCCAAAGGACACATATTTTGGCACATACAAAGATTCTGTGCGCGGAAATCCGAACTATTTCCTGACTTACGGAAATGGAAAATCAGTTGCACGGGTACAAGATCACCTTCGGCCTAACGGTGCACACAGATGGCACAATTATATGAAAACCCCAAAGTATAATACATCATCAATATATACAACATTTTTGTGTGCATGATCTTTTTAATTAGTATCATGACGATTCTTCTGAAATATGACAGTGAAATCAAATTGGAAGAAGCTGCTGTTTTACATTACACATACGCCAAATTCTCTGATTTAACTTCTAGACGTGATCGTTGTGGTTGCAAACCTACCAAAGAAGATGTCAAAAGATGCTTCATGTTGGAATTTGACAGATCTGTAAGTTTCAGTTTTTCAGTTTTTCGATTCTAGGTATTTATCATTGCTTTCATTTATGCTAAGTAGACCTTATTATCAATTTCAGGCATTCATCATTGCTTCAACAGCAACTGAAGAAGAAATGTTGAAGTGGTATGCTACCTTCAATTTATATTCATTTATACTCTCCTACATAATTTAACCATTATTTTATCGATCTTCGAGAAACATTTGATCTTTTTTCTTGTTCCAGGTATAATGAGCATGTTGTGTGGGGTGATAAAGAGTTGAAGATAAAACTGTTGAGGAAAGGAATATTGACCCGCATATACGCTCCCACGGTCAGTGATAAGTTAGTTAAAGTTGTTCCAATCAATGTAGTCAAGCACGAAATCTTAAGTAGGATTGGTTATAGGAGCGTTATAGAGCTATAACATAGCTGTATTTAAACAAATCGCTATTGTTCTGCGATTATCTAATGCAAAATATTGTCAAATAGCAGACATAACAGCGCTTGCGCTATAGCAGTGCGGTATTGTGGAATTTGAACAAACTGCTAATCTGTGATCCGCTATTGACAACAGTGTGCTAGAGATAGAGGTGTTGCTATATCTATTTCTACATATTATACATTTCTTGATGATCTTGTCTCCAGGTCATAATACAAAGTTTGAGGGAATCCGGAGTATTCAGCTCCATCATTGCATCGGCGCCAACACTTTCCAAAGACAAGTTCTTGCATTCAATTGATAGTAGCAATTCAACAAGAGCTGTTGCCTCTATATTCCACTCATCCAGAAAAGTTGGAAGAATCAAAGAATCTCAAGCAACTGCAAGGAGGATTCTGGATCTTGAATCTTCTGTATTTCAAGAATCGGCCGTACCACCGGAGTCTCCTCCGGGTGTAGTAGAAGATAGTAACCTCATTTCACACTCATGATCAATTTCAGGACCATCCTTTCTTCTCCTTCCATACTCCATAGGTTGATATGTCATATCTTGTTTCTGTATAGAGTGCTATCATTGAATTCTATTTTGTGCTTTTTCCCCTTCATATTTGTTGATAGGATAATAGTGTTTTATCTCACATGCTATTGATTATATGTTATGAGACTTGTGCTAATGTATGAAGATATTAAACAACAGTCATAATCTAAAATATTTGTTTATTGTTTTATTGTTTACTTGGTGCAAATATTAATGTACATTTTACTTAAATATCTCTTTTATTTAACCTTCAATATTATTAAGGTGGAAAACCCAGAAAGCTATTCGGGTCATGGAGATTTTGGAAAAGCACGGCCAGGCTGATGTTTTTGCGTATGAAGCACTTTTAAATGGGTACTGTAAAGCTGATATAGTTGATGCTGCCAATAAGGTGCTTTTCATACAACATCAGTTTATGTGTATCTATGTTTATGTTGTTGATTAGCGGTCAGTCTGCTCTTGATATTGTAGATGAGGATTGCTTTGTTCTATATCATACAACATCAGTTTATATGTGTATCTATGTTTATGTTGTTGATTATATATTACTTGTTTACATGGAGGTTCTGATATCTCAAGGTTAAAGATTATATTGAGTTTGTATTGTCATGTGATTTAGGAATGCCTCTGCACTATGGGAGTTCTATTTAAATACTACTGCACTTTACTTTGTAACTTCCATTTTATAAGATTTGTGAATCATCCCAATTTCGTGAACATTCAGCAGGGTCATTCATCTCAAGAGCTATGAATCACATAAAGAGATGATATTCAATGACCAAAAAGTATCACCATCAGGTCTGTGCATGAGAATATATTTGTTTTTAGTTAATATTTGATACATATATGTGAAAAAGATTGCTAATAGTAATATCTGATGGGTCATTCATCATAATTGTATTTGTAGCTTCAAATTTTCATGAAAGATGTGATGAAGAGAAATGAATTGACTGCATCTCTTGGAAATGATGAATTAGTCTTCATCCTGATAAGCTTAAAGCTTTCGGTTTATTTGTCAAATCTAAATTTTTTAGATTGCTAATATTTGACAGTTATAGTAGAGACAAATCATAAACTTTTGAAACATTTGAAATTTTGTTTAGAACTTAATCAAAGCTTAGAAATTCTGTTTAAAATCTCTCTGACTTTGTTTATGACTTATTGAAACCAGGTTTTTATTGGAGATATACTTGCTGCTAATTCATCTCACAGTGAGTTCTTCAATCTGTCGAAGCAATTTTGGAGTATTACACCAGAGGTATTTTCTGATTTAGTTGGTTTTGTGTGTTGAAACTCATCATCCAATTTTGGTAGTGAACATGGATATCATGTTTGTAATAACTATAATGTATTCTTTTACAATAATAATAATAATGTATAGTATACCTCTTATCTACACATATTTATTTAGATAGATAGTATATCATGTTTGTAATAACTATGATGTATTCTTAATATCATTTTGATTTTGTTAAACATACTATCAGTCCAAATATGGTAGATCTGCTATTGCACATGAGATTCAACTAGCATTTTCATTTTCATTTTATTAATTTAAATAAAATAATTAAATTTTTTCATGAGATTAAACATACTATCATTTTCATTTTGATTTTATTAATTTAAATAAAATAATTACATTTTTTCTATAATCAAATTCTATATATATCAACTAGCTTATTAGTCAAAATCTTCTTTATATATAGTATTAATTTGTTAATTACAATTTATCAGTGATTATAATTATTAGTTATATTTTTATAATACATTAAATTACTTAATTGATGTTTAATAAATTTTTTATATGTTTATGTTATGAATAGCATCAATTAGCCTATTGGAGATAATGTGAATACAACAATTGCAGACTTAATTAATGATGATGGAAATTGGAATTGAAGCCATTTAAGGAACATGTTCAGTTGGAAGTTTTTGGATATAATGCTTGTAATACCTCCACCAAGAACAAGGATATAGAGGATCATTGGAAAGGCATTTGGAATCTGAGTGTTACTAAAAGAATAAGGGTTTTTGTGTGGATGATATATCATAATGGAATCAAAACCAACCAATATCTAAACCACTTGAATCTTCCAGATAATTTGTGTGATTACTGTGATGGAAAATGTAGTAGTGTTGTAGCTGAGCTTTGGTGAGTAATGGAAGGCATTGATTTAGCTCGCACAAGGGCATAGAGAAGACTGATGGTGCAAGTAGACATCAACCAAGTTTTTGAAGCTCTCACAATGAGCTTAGTCGAGAAAGGTCTAGGTTTAAATCTGATTCCTAAAATCCAGGAATTTACAAGCACTAATGAAGACATTTCTATCGTCTATATTTATCAGGAATTGAAAAAGTGTGTCGACGTGCTTCTATATGAAGAATGTCCTCAATTTATGTATCATACATATCTAAAGAACTTGAGACGCCTTGATACATATCCAAATTTGATTAGGTTTCTCCTTAGCGGAAAGTGAATTTTATTTTATTGGAGATTTTGTTCACTAGTGCAGAAATGACTTTTTACATCGGGTAAAATTGACTTTTTACATCGGTTTTGGATCCGATGTAAAGTCAGGTGATATAGTAAATCAGGGACTTTTTACATCGGTTCTGGGACCGATGTAAAAAGTCCCTTTTTTACATCGGTTATAATATCAGAACCGATGTAATAACCTGTTATTATGCACATTTTTTAAAAAATTGATCCAGTTTTTTACATTGGTTGGAAGTAATACCCGATGTAAAAAGTACCCTTTTTACATCGGTTATAATATATGAACCGATGTAAAAAACAATTATTATGCACATTTTTTTAAAAAATTGATCCAGTTTTTTACATCGGTTGGAAGTAATACCCGATGTAAAAAGTCCCCAGTGACGCGACTTTTTACATCGGGTATTACTTCCAACCGATGTAAAAAGTCCCTTATTGAAAGTTTTTACATCAGTTTTACTAATAACCGATGTAAAATGCATGAAATTTTTTTGGAATAGATTATTTATTTTCTGGGTTTCCCTATACAAATATAATTTGTACCCATTTTTTCATATTTTTCCAATATCAAACAGACTATATTTATGTCGCTATATAGATTTCATAGCTTTCCAACATCACATTTAGGACGATGTTTTCATATTTTTCACAACAAACTTACAAATTGAACAAACTTACAATTACAAACTTGTATTGCAAACTTGTATTGTATTACAACATACAAACTTACAATTACAAATTCTTAACAAAATATAAAACAATATTCAACTATTTATAAGTCTTTTTCAAAACTTACATTACATAATATTCACAAAATATACATATACTAAAATATTCAACTATTTCTAAGTTTCCAAACTTGAATTACCAATATAAAATCTTCGGTAGACAACACCAAAATCATATTGCCTGACAATAAATAATAACAATTAACATCAGCAAAAAAATCAAGAAACTCAACACATGAGCAAAAACCACATGTATATTGTGCAAAAACCACAACTTATACAATTCT